AGCCTTTTACTTTAAAAAATGCATGTACACAAGTAAAGACAATTTTAAAAGAGCAAGTCTATTACGAGAATGCTAAAATTCAATTTATGTGAGTTTGGTGGTAACCCAGCCATGACTTGAATTCAATAACTACTTCGGTCCTAAATCACTACTCTTATCAACTACATTACTCTTATCAACTACTCTTATTAGGAGTGCAAACGGCTATGATGGGCTGAAAATTTAGGCCCGGAGCCCAAGAACCTTTCGAGCTCTCCCTTCTTTTAGTTGGGGGAGTATTTTGGGCTAATCCGAGGTCCTAAAATTGAGTCCATTAAAGCGAACCGGCTCTCAATGTGAAAATGGTGTCTCATGCCAGGCCATGGCTCGCTAGGCCCATCCTATTGGACTTTAATTTATGTGTGCGCTTAATTAGATTATGGGCATAATTTGGAGAGGAGAGTCAAATCCTGCCTCCAATTATCCCAATTAGTTAAATATATAGATTATAAATAACATTTATTATTTTTATTTCTTAAATTTCTAACTGCAAAATTAAGAATTTCATTCACTTTTAAATTTTCGTTTCTACTTGTAATTTTTTTTGTACATGAATGACTTTTTTTTAAAAATTTATTTTCTAAAATTACCCCAAAACAAACAACACGTAATGAGCTTGAAAAAATTAAACATTTTTCTTAATGAAACGAATTAGAATTATTATTATTTATTGACAATAAATTCACATGCCAATTTGTCTTAACTGGAACTCGAATCTTTACATTTCATTTTGAAAAATAGAGGGGATATCACTTAGAATCCGTTTGGTTAGACAGAAATGTATGATAGAAAGTAAAAGTGAAAGAAAGGAAAGTGAAAGAAAAGAAATTAAGTTTTCAATATGCATTTGGTTAGCAGGAAAATTTTTGATGAAAGTTGTGGGAAAATATTATTTTGTTAGTTTGGATAGTATGAAAGAGAAAAGAAAATGATTTACTTACCATAATTACCCTCATGATTTCAAATACTTAAAAATAAATTAATTTTGTGTTAGATGAATTATTTTTATACCTAATTATTTATATTAATTTTTAACAAATAAATTGTAAAATGATGGATTATTAATAATTATTATTTATATTCATATTTAAATTAAATTAGGACAAACTAAAGGGGCTGGATTTTAGTAATCAAATATTTTGTGTTCTAAATAATAATTATTTATATTCATATGTAGGATGTAGTTCATTTATCATAACATACTCATATTTTTATTGAAATAATAAATATATTAAATATATCTTTTTTGCAAGCCCCACGAAAAAACGCTAAATGACAATCCTCGAGGATAAAAATGGTCATGCAAACATATTTTATAATTAATGCATAATAATTTTTGGTTCATGCATAATTTACTAGTCCCACTTTCATATTTTATGACTATGAACCATGCAACTTTTTTTTATAAAAAATCACATATGATTCAAGTGGAGATGGCATGTAGATAATAGGGTAAAGTGCAAAAAACCCCTTCAATTATTGGCCATGTACAATTAATCCCCCGAACTACAATTTGCCTCCTTGAACTATTGAATTTGGTGCAATTAACCCCTTATGTGACATCTCCCACTAATTAGTTATAATAGAAATAGTAAGAGATAATTTTACCCCTATATAAAACCACCTTGTTTCATAAAATTTAAACACTCTCTCTTCCTTCTTCACATGCATCTAAAACTAAGTCGTTTGGTTACTCCCTTAGGCCATTCTGTATACACATATATTTATATATATACATCTTAACTGTTCATCTTCTTCACAGCACATTGCAGACTCCAATTTTCTATTTGTGGAATCTCATATTGGAATTGGGTTCCCCTACACGAACTGACTAATACATCCTCTGCTCTCACCAAATTGGATGATGGGTTTGTGGGTAATTCAATAATTAATCATATTTAAATCACAAATTGCAATCATTTTATTTTTCTTATTTCTTAATTTTATATATTCAACTTTTATATATATATATATATATAGCTGAGGCTGCCTACAATTTTATGGTGAATTGGTTGAAAATATTTTGACAGTTCAAAACCCATGATCTCTTCATATCAGGAGAGAGTTATGAGGTAATTGATTAATATACCCTAACCTCAAGACTCCATTGACCAAACAAATTTTCGGTAAAAAATTTGGGTGCCTTTTTTACAATGCCAGTGAGGACCGAGAGACCAAAGTGGCGACGGAAAAAGTCAGCCGGAAGTTTCGACGAGAGCGATGACCGGCAGATGTTATGGCGACGGTGAGAGAAAGCTCCAACGATGAAGATCCGACGGGTTAGTGATTTATCAATCGATTTCATCATCACCAATTTGAGAAATTTGAATCGTCAGAGCCAAAGTAGTATTATAGTATAGAACAGGGGCATTCATTTCTTCTCAACTGGGTGTGACATGGTGCCTGTGTTTGACTCGGGGCGAACAAAAATCCCTCGCAGACAGTGAATCCCATAGCCGACGGTTCCTTGTTGCCGGCCGATCGCATCGCCATCCCCGTGGCTGCAGTACTTTCACCTTCTGGGTTTGCAGAGACATATGTGATTGGATTGTTGAGAAAACATGAGTTGTGATATTTGTGGTCATTGGAGTCCGCCAGGTAGTCATTGCAAGGATTTTACCCACAAAAAAAAAAAAAAATGTTGCAGAGATACTTGGTCTTTGCTCAGCTATGGCGTGAATGAGGAAAGAGGAGGAGGGTAGGGTTGGTTTGCCACGTCACGCCAGTAGTTAGAGACAAAAAATAAGTCGTTTTATAGTAAGGGTGAGGGGGCATTGTGGTCTTTTAACTTCATAAAAGGTTGTATGGTCATTTAAAAAAATTTGAGTTGTCATGTGACCGTCACGTCACGTGCTTCTTCACTGTCAAATTCAACCGGCTAATCACCGGACTGGGGTTAATTGCAACAAACATGTTAGCTCAGGAGGGTTATTTGTCAAATTATTAAATCAGAGGGGTTTTTGCTGAATGGCCAATAGTTGAAGGGGTTTTTTGCACTTTACCTGCATAATATGATGACTCTAATTTATTAAAAGTAATATAATTCTACTATTCAATTCATAATTTATTTTCAAAATTTTTTAAGTAACAAGAGTATTAGATATGATGAATCTAAATATGTGTCCCAGATATGTGTCCCGGTAAATAAATGTAGCATAACTTGATAACCTAGTTAAAAAAATTGGAAAAACAATTCAATTGGGACATAATAGAAAATTTAGAAATAAAATTACAGTTTTGAGCGAAAAAGTAGAGTTTCTTTTTTTTTTTGCAGGAAAATATTTTAGGAAAATTATTTGATACGAGAATCTACTTTCTCCAAAATTTTCTCTTTTTAGGTAACCAAAATCTAAAAAACTAAAAAAAAATTCTTTTCTTTTGCTTCCTACCTACTTCACACTAACCAAACAAACTCATAGCTACTTAACATTGGATTTTCGTAAAACAAAATTAAGGGATGGATTTATTTATTTATTTATTTATTATTATTATTATTATTATTTTTTTTTGAGGGTCCGTTTGGTTAGACGAAAATTTATGATGGAAAGTAAAAGTGAAAGAAAGTGAAGTGAAAAAAAAGGAAAATCAAGTTTCCTGCATGCATTTGGTTAGCAAGAAAAAATTTCAAGAAAGTTAAGAAAAATATTATTTTATTAGTTTGGATGGCATGAAAAGGAAAAGAAAATAATTTACTTACCAAAACTACCATCATGATTTAAAATATTAAAAAATAAATTAATTTTGTATTGGATGAATCATCTTTATACCCAATTATTTATATTAATTTTTAGCAATTAAATAGTAAAATAATGGATTAATAATAATAATTATTATTATTTATGTTCATATTTAAATTAGACAAAGTAAGGAGGACTACATTTTAGTTGTCATATTCTTTTTATTTTCTGTTTTCAATAATAATTATTTATATTTATATGTAGAATATAATTCACTTATCATAACATACTCATGTTTTATCATAAAATAATGGATTATTAATTATTATTATTATTTATATTCATATTTAAATTAGAAAAACTAAGGACGACTGCATTTTAGTTGCCAGTTTTTTTTTATTTTGTGTTTTCAATAATAATTATTTATATTTATATGTAGAATATAGTTCATTTACGATAACATACTCATATTTTATTGAATTATTAAATATATCTTTTTTTAAACCCCCTCGAAGAAACATTAAATGGCAACTCTAGAATAAAAATTGTCATGCAAAAGTAACATATTTTATAATTCATGCATAATAATTTTATGGTTTATGCATAATTTATCAGTCCCCTTTCATATTTTTTATGAATATGAACTACTTCTATGTAAATTTTTCTGTGCAAAAATTATACACTATAAAACGTTATTTAGTCAAAGCTGTGTAAATAGTAAAAAATAAATATTATATTGATTTCCATCCATGTAAAATTGTTATGTCATAAAAATAATATGATGACTCAAATTAATCTCTTCTCATATTTCTATTGAGATATTGATAAAAATTAAAAATTATATTATTTAATATTCCACCCTTTAACTCTTAATTTATTTCCAAAAATTTTAGGTAACGATGTACTTCATATAATAAAATTATGTGTCCCAATATATAATAATTGTTGGAATATTTTCTAAGTCTGAATTTAATAACTATTATATTTGTTATGTGAAAAAAAATGGAGAAACAACTGGGCATAATAGGAATTTTGGAACTAAAATAACACTTTTTGTACGAGAAAGTTAACTTTCTTGTATATTTTGGGAAAAAATATTTTAAAAAAATTTATCGATGCAGGAATTTCACTTTCTCAAAATTTTTTCCTTTTCACGTAACCAAACTTTTAAAAATTAAAATTTTTTCCCGTTTCTTTTTCTTTCTATCTATTTTACGCTAACCAAACGACCCCCATTCAAATTGGCTCGGGAGTACGAAATACGGAGTAACATGTATACAAAACAAATTCACATTACTTACAAACACTCTCTCCTTCGCTTACTAAAAACTAAAATAAACAGGATTCTTCTCTCTCTCCCTCTCAATTTCCCCTCTCCAAACAAAAAACCCGCGAATACCACAAAATCACATGCCAATCTCTTCAATTTCCATGTTTCTCCACCGAGCGACGCCGTTGCTCCCTCTCTACAACACCTCCCTCCGCCGTGCCTCCCCCTTCCGCCTCTTCTCCGTCGCCGTCGCCGTCGCCGTCGCCGCTCGACAACCAAACCCTAACAATGTCTGGAAAAAGCCCCAACAACCGCTCAAGAACCTACTTAAGGCACGAGACAACGCCAAGCACTTCTCTTCTCTTTCCCAATTCCTCTGCCCCGAAGACGAGACTCAGCTCTCTCAAAACCAAGCCATCGGCATGGTCGCTTCAGCTCAAGCTAATTTCATGCGCGTAGTGGTCGAATCAGTGTCTCCAGAATCATCTACGAGCGATTCGAGTTCGTCGGAATCTTCTGGCCAAGAAGGGCAGAGAATTGGCGTGGAATTGCTGTGTGTGGTGAGGGCAGTCTTGAAGAAGATAAAGAGGAGGGTTTTGGTTGGTGACAAGGTGGTGGTTGGGTCCATTGATTGGGTGGACCGGAGGGGCATGATCGAGAATGTATTTCAGAGAACGACAGAGATTCTTGAACCGCCGGTGGCAAATGTTGATCACTTGCTGGTTTTGTTCTCGATGGAGCAGCCGAAGTTGGAGCCCTTCGCGCTTACAAGGTTTTTGGTGGAGGCAGAGTCCACAGGGATACCGATCACTCTCGTATTGAATAAGTCCGAACTTGTTGATGAAGAGGTTTGAATTTAGATGACTTATTGATTGAACTTCTATTTCGTAACTTATTCTTGTTTGTTGAGCTTAATTTTTTTATGGGATTTGAATTAGGGTTAGATAGGATATTTTTACAGATTGTTGAACCATAATTGAAATTATGGCATGTGAAGTTAGGGTTATTACAAATTATAAATGTTGTATAAGATATGATAACTTAATGTGATAGATTAGAATGTTACAATTGATCAATTTGAATTCATTGAAATTGAATGTGAGATTTACAAATGTGTATGTGTGAATAGGTTACATGTAATTGAAGGTGTTCTGAATTTAGATTCAATTCATTGTGACTTATTGTGACGCGTTGATTATGCAGACGCTTATTTCATGGAAATCTAGACTTCGTAGGTGGGGCTATGAACCAATTTTCTGCAGTGTTGAATCCAAACATGGACTAGATACTCTTGAGTTCATTTTGAGAGAACAGAATTCTGTGATAGTGGGCCCAAGTGGTGTTGGTAAGTCGAGTCTGATCAATGCTTTGAGAAGCAATCAATCTATTGTTGGTACTGCAGAAGGGGATAATTGGTTTGATCATGTGAGTTTTATCTATATTATTGTATTTTGATTTTGCATTCTTTCATTATTCCAACATTCTATTCCTACTACATTTTTCTACCAACATTCTGTTTCAGATGTTAGGCAACAAGTGGTTTGAGGATCAGCGTGTTGGAGAAGTGTCAACGAGAAGTGGTAGAGGGAAGCATACGACTCGAAATGTTTCGCTACTTCCATTATCTGGAGGAGGATATCTTGCTGATACTCCCGGGTTTAACCAACCTAGTTTGATGAAAGTAACAAAGCAATCTCTTGCACAACATTTCCCAGAGGTCTCTGTTGTCAACTTTGCTTACTGTAGTTCATTTTCTTTTACTTTTTTATTTATCAACATTTGAACTTGCATTTTATGCTGATAACTTCACTTACCTTTTCTCAGATCCAAAAAATGCTTGAAGCTAGTGAAACTACAAAATGTTCTTTCAATAATTGCTTGCATCTTGGTGAACCGGGGTGTGTTGTGAAAGGGGATTGGGAAAGGTATCCATACTATTTCCAATTGTTTGATGAGATCAAAATCAGAGAGGAATTTCAGTTGAGGACACTTGGAACCAAAAGAGAAAGTGATGTAAGGTATGTTCAAATCGAATTTAGTATGGATGAGGATAACTTAATATCTTACTGAGATTCATTTTTTAGGAAATAAGTTGAAAGTACTATATGTTTGTTATGCAGAGCCTAATATACAATGTTGTTCAACAGCATGGACACTTCTCCTGTTTCTGATTACTTCTCCTACTCATGGATTTTTTTTGGTCTGAACCAGACAAGTGCATTGCATCCATATAATTGTCCTATTTGTAGAAGGAAAAGAGATTAAAACTATATATATAGAGATAAGGTATTCTACACAAACAAAGAACAAAAATCCTATAGAAGAACAAATGGATCATGTACGAGTTTGTCAAGTAAATTGATAGCGTAGTTTAGAAGGTAGAACACTGATACTGTGCCATTTACACATTGTAATGTTGTGTATAAAAGGTCAAGATTCAAATCCTAGCATTGTTATTTTTACCTTTCAAAAATACAAGTCCTAAGGATTACTTTTTGATTAAACTTATAATATCAAAATTTGAAGCACTATAATTAAACAAACAAAACTTCGGATTTTTTTATTTACATGAACTATCCCATAGAGCGATTCTCTAAAATTCCATGGTGTGATACTACTATGATCTGGTGACCCTATGATTCTGAACGATCCTATAGTAATGACACTTTGATACTACCATTTTGCGATTTGTCATATGATTCGGCTCCATTTGATAGTTTTGGATTGGGTTGTGATTTTAATAACAATGAACAAAATCATGTTGCTTCTTTCTCACGGAAAATTTTGCAGGTTTCCTGACTAAATTTTCTGTATCATCCGAAACCACATTCAGCACACCAGAATTTAGTTGTACATATTGTAACTAAATTCTACAAGTAGCTTATCATTTCCAGATAATATATTTGCTTACAGAAGTTTTTCACAACTTTGTTTTTATCATTCTGATCTAGTTATGCCAGAGAAGTTGTAAATCTTTGTCTACTATATTTTCATGTCTCTTCTTATATTTTAGTCCTTTGCCGTACTTGAATGGTTGTCACAATTCTAGCATCTTTATTTTCTTTTTCCGTTGTTCTATGTTTAGTTTCTAGTTCCCCATGTTACTGGGGCCAATGCAATGGTAAAACGTTTTGCTCTCAAGCATGAGAAAATCTAGGTTTGAGTACGAGGTTGGTTATTTTTGCAGATAATGTTAAAGGTTAAGTCTATCAAATATATCCCTCTACCAATGGGTATGATCTCTCCCCTCAAAGGGGAGGTTGAGTATTCGAGCCCTTCTTAAATGTTAGAATTAGAATTTATTATATTATATTATATATTTATTTTTTCGGTTTCCTATTCACATGGTCACACAAGCCCATACCTTGTTCTATCAATCTCCAATTTTGATCTATCTCCCTGAGTAAAGGCCTGTATTTATTCATTTCCCTTTATTGTGTACTCCATTTCCTTTTCATTTCTATTGGTTTAGTTTTTGATTTTAAACTTGAACTGAACTCTCTTTGCAGGTATAAGGCGGGAGATATGGGCGTCAAGCAAGCTGAACCAAGGTTAGAGACTAAGAAGCATCGGAGACAATCTCGTAAGAAAACCAACCAGTCAATAATGAATGATCTGGATGAACTTGATGATGAAGACAACTTATTTGATGATGAAAATCCCATTTTAAGAGCAATGAGGCATGAGAATCAATCTTAAGCATGCTGCCTCGTATCAGAAATTGGAAATAGCACGTTACTTGACCGACCTTTTGTCAATGAGGTTAAATGAGTTCACTGGTAAAGATTACAGTGTGAAATGAACGAAATTTTTTGCGCTGAGACAATCACACTATGATGTTACCAAAAAGTCCTTGGAATGTAATGGTCATTTTGGACGTACTGAATTCATATCATGTCATTGTGGTTTAGGTGACGTGTGAAAAGAATTCTGAACGAAATAAAATCTTTTGTTAATACTTAAATATCATACTAGCCAGTGGGGGAATTTTTTTTTTTATTTCTTTTTTCTTGTTTTCCTTTTCCATATTTGGAATTGACCTGTTTTTATTAAGAATTCGATGATGGATAACACTACATTGTGGGGAAAGTTTTACAAAAAGTCTACAATGCTATTGCATTGGCACTCAGCCACGGGGAAATTTTGTCTTTTAAACAGGGTACAGAATCTATTAATCACACGTGCGCTTGATGTGAGCCGTCTGATACAATGCAACATCTGACCAACAAATTCTAGAATAGTATCATAGTTCTTATTTTGTTCACTTAACCAAATGTATCTATCCTACCTATATAAGGTGCTCCAATCCAACCTTGTCTGCAATGCAGTGCATTAAGCTAAAGAGACAGAAAGATGCAGTGCTACATAGAGCTTAGAGATTTTGACCTGCCATTGATAAACCTCCTCTTCATGCTCTTACATTCCTCCTATGTCAAGCCTAATTGGGACGTCGGAAATGGTGGTCAATCGAGTAGCACTGATCATAATCATCTCATTGCCAAACTGGCCTTCTTATTAGTACTTGTTATTGCCATTGTCACTTCTATTTTCCTGCTCATCTCAATCAAATTACGACTCACTGTTACAGTTGCTACTGATGCAATTCTTGCAATTCGTTTACGATAAAGGAAAAATGAAAGATTTTTTTCAATATATATATATATATATAATTATTCAAAAAAAATTCAAAAAATATGTTTTTGTGCCAATATAGTCAAATAATGCCTAAAACGGCTATAATATCAAAAAGGAACGTTGAAAACTTTTAAAAGGGCAAAAAAAAAAAAAAAAAATCACTTTTCTTTGTTTTATTAAACTTTTTTTGCCCAAAAAATCCTTTAAGCCAAACAGTGCCTAAATGGCTCTTTAGATCAGTTACGTTGAGGGAAAAAAAAAAAGGGGGCCAAAAAAAGTTTTTAAAAAAAAAAATTTAATTTTTGGAATTTTTTCCAAGCTAAACACAACCTTAAAATTAATTATGGACTCCAGTGGAACTGGGTTAAGTACTTTGGGCCTCTAAACCCTAAACTCTAAAAAAAAAAAAGTAAGCTGACCCGCGCAAGGCAGGCTTGCAATCGTCAATCGGGTCGCCCTTTTTGAAGACCCATTCCGCCACCCAAAATCTCGGACCCACCTTTTGGAGACTGCATTGAACTACTAGTATCGTGAATTTGGGCCCAAAGCCTCTAAAATCATAACTATTAGACCTCCTCTTATTTCCCTCTGATCTCTGTTTCTCCATGATAAAATTTCTAGACCGGACTAAATAGGCAATAAAATTTTCTCATCTAATTAATTTAAGTGAAGTATATATAAGCGTTTCATTCATAGACTATTTTTTGTTATTATGTTAAAATGTGTAGTTTTTAGTTATATCGAACAATGGATCATGTTCCGTCAAGTTTAGAATGCGGATTACAAAAAAAAAATTAGAATATTTGTTAAATATTTCAGTCATTTTGTAACGTGCAATTATGCATCTCGAGACATAAACAACTATTCCACGAAGAGCATAATTGTCCGTTTTCAGTTATAGTGGTAAGGACTCCTGTTTAGGGTATACAAAAGATTTCTTAGTTAAGACTTTAGAGACTGCTCGAGGAATGATTTGACCATAACCAATATGAAGGTTTGGTACCACTGTAACAACTTCAATTAAACATCAACCCTCACTAAATAGATAAAGAAATTTTGATTCTTCCACGTTAGAAAGAGAACTTTGTAACATGTTGTAATTATGCAGCATTAATACAATTAGGGGTGACAATTGAGTGGATTTGGACGGATTTTAAATAGAGAAAGTATGAATGGATCAATAATTCAATATCAATTCACCAATGATGAGTTATAAATGGGTAAGAGTTCAAATGAACGGGTCAAAACGGGTTATCCCGTCCACGACTAAATAATAATAATAATAATAATTTATTCTTACATTAATTTTTTTATTTCAAGCATTACAATAAAAAATAAAAAAAATCTTTTTTCTTTTGGAAAAAGTTACTATACAACTTATCAACAATATTATATATATATATATATATATATATATATATATATATATATATATATATATATATCCATTCTCTATGTATAAGTCCAGTCCGGTTATATATAGATATAAGTCCTATGCAAGCAGGTATTAAGTTGCAGGTCCAAGAAAGAAGAAAAAAGAATAAATAAAAAAAAGGGCAGCAGGTTCGAAAAAAAATACTCCCTCCGTGGTTCCAAAATAATTCGTTACTTTAAAAACTGTGTGAACAGAGAGTAAAAATAAAAAGTTTTTTTTTCGAAAATTCTGAGTAAAAATAAAAAGTTGCTATAGAAAACAAATAAAATGATGTATCAAGTGCACAGTTTTGCATACATGGGAAGTACTGGAAGTCTGGAAGTTCCTCTACGAGAAAGAAAAGTTGTAAAGAGTAGGAAAGGTCAAGCAAACAAAATAATTATATTTATATATATAATAAGATTATATTATTATTTTATTATAGTACCATTGTCGCGCGTCTTATTTATTTTTTTTTATAAATTTATATAAGTAGGAACTAGGAAGTTGAAGAGTGGCAGAAAGAGAGTTAATGCTAAAGAAATGAAGAAAAAAAAAAAAAAAAGGGATTTTGTTTGAGTTGGTGAAGATAGGTGTTCGCTCTTAATTCACCATTGACCTTTAAACTAGATGAATGCTTACTTTTTATCGATTATTAATTTACTCATTTAAATTTAAATGTCCAAATAATTTAATTTTAATAGGCAGTTTAATGAGTTTGGGCTTAAATTGCCACCCTAAATATAATCATATTGCAATGTGTGCAATCACTTGGACAATGGACCCACAGATGTTTTGAAATATTTTGGTTTGTACAAAATATTTCTTAGTTCATTGATTCACCTTTTGTGTCCTTAGTCCCGGAGGAATTTTAGTGATTGATAAGCAGATCTAACCAATAATGATCTCAAAAAAACTATATATATATATATATATATATATATATACACTTATACACATATATGTATATATAATGCAATTAAATATATACCACCATCTTTTATTTTAAATAGTGAGAACGCCCTATATTTTTCTTTCTTAGCCATCAAAACATCTGAATTTTGAAGTGGACCACCTGATAGTGACAGAGTAAAGTCCCCCCATGCTTCTTTCTTTGCTCTGAACCCTTTTTTTTTTCAACCCTTTTTATTGAACCCTCTTTTTTTTATTTAACCCTTTTTATTGAACCCTTTTTTTTAAAACCTTTTTTCTTGAAACATCTCATTTTTCAAACATGCCCACACAACTATATATATATATATATGTATGTATCCTCCCAAGTCTCTTCATGCTCTTGAATTTCTCTTTCTCCATATCCAGGGCTCAAGTTAGAGAGAGAGGAGAAGATGAAGTGTTACATAGATCTCAGGTATGTTATCCCACCATTCATAAACCTCTTCTTCATGCTCTCGCATTCCTCTTTCGAACCTTCGAGCAGAGATGCAGGTCCATTAATGGACACTGAATATAATCATCTCATTGCCATATTGGTTTTCTTACTTGTCACCGCCATTGTCACCTTGATTTTCCTCCTCACCTCCATTAAACTACCACTCACCGTTACTGCGGACACGATTCGCTTGCGAGCCGGAGACTTCTCTGCTGTTGTGGCAATTGGTTTGCTCTGCTCAATCTTCCTGTCACCAACACATTTATGGATTTCGTATCCGATCATCGTAGCCATCTCTCCTTGGTATGCTTCGCTTTTCAATCTGCTTCACCGATTTCTATATCGGGTTTATCAAATCATGCAATCATTTTCTACCGTATGCATCGTGTTCTTCATCCAAGAACATGGACACCCACAACAAGAACATCCTCAAGTTGAAGTCGAATTAGCTGAGATTGAAAACGATGTTGCAGTTGTGATTGATGGATGTGTGTTTAGCCAATGATGAAGTCATAAAAAGTAGTAATAATGTATTTTTATGTGCTTTCAATGTGTGTGTATGTGCAAGTATATATATATATATATATATATATATATATATATATATATACCTTTTATTTGGTTTAAATGTGATGTGTTTATTTTGAGGATGTACTGTTGTTGAATGTAATAAAAGATTGTTTAATTTAAGAGATTGTTTGAGAAAGGGTTTGTTTGGATGCAGCAAAATCCTTAGTGGAATTAAATTGGTGCTTGTGTTTTTATTTCCCGTATATGTCTCTGTTTCTCCATAGTGAAATCCCAGATTGATTAAATAGGCCAGGAAAATTTCTTATCCAGTTAATTTCAGTGATATATATATATATATATATATATATTTAAGCTTTATTGGCATAAGTTTTTGTTCTTATGTTCCAGTTGTATGTACTCGTTGGTGTCTTCCTTTTGTTCATAGAGTATGCCCTGTTCTCCTCTGTTCTTCATTGATGTGTTTATTGGAATTAAATGCATCTAACCCATTTAAGGGCAAAAAAAAATAAAAATTGTTTTCTTTTTTCTCTTCTTGCTAAAAATTAAAATTTCACATTAATTTAATTTAGAATAAATTCCACTTACCTCTTACGAGGTTTGTCAATATTTTACATAGAACCCCTCTTGATTTTATAATCTTACTTACCTCTCTTGAGGTTGTGATTTATGTAACAGGTTTTTTCATGCCATTAGGGCAGCCGACAGAGATAACATAATAAATTGATGTCGGCAGAAAATGGATTGATCACTTTACCCTTCTAATGCCTAAAATGATATCTTTAACCTCATATAATTTTTGGGTAAATTGATAAAAGAACACGCTACCGTTCAACGGATGTCATTGATATAAAAATAAGTAAAATTATGAAATCAAGAGGAAGTCTACGTGTGATAATGACAAACCTTAGGAGAGGTAGGTAGAAATTACATGGAATATCTTATACACAATGACATTTTCATGAAAAAAATTCAAAGTTTTTCTGTTTTTTTTTTT